TTTTTTTTTTTTTTTTGTGGGGGTGGGGGGTGTTTGTGGTTGGGTTTGTTTTGTGAGAATTATACTTTAGTCCCTAAAATTTTTAACTTAATTACTCACTAATATTTAAAATATTATATCCACTCCTACCATTAATATCATTATATCCGTTTAATAAATTACGGTAAGACCTTTTAAAGTTTATAAGTATACAATATTTAGACTTCTTAAGTCCCCCCTTCCCCTCCCAAACTTTAAAAAAAAATATATATATATATATATTATGTCATTTATTGAAATAAAATCAAAAATAAAGATTTATTTTTTTTNTTTTGGAATGCTGCCAATTATGCTCTGTAACAGGTAATTATCAGATGGAGACAAAACATTCCAGCATATTTATGGAGCTCACTGAAATTTAGTATTCAGAAACTTAAAAAAAGTCCGATGTAAACAAGACTAATAACATAAAGATTGTCTGTTCATTCTCCATGNTAAAAAAAATCATAATTAATATACAATTATACTATCTATTGAAATAAAACAAAAAAATCAAATAAGTGGTCAAACAGTAATTGGGGTAATTCGGTAATTTAATTTAATCGTTTAAATGAAAAAATTAAATTCCAATAGATAGTATAATTGTATACTAAGAAAAAATTAAATTTTTATTTTTAATTTTATTTCAATAATATAGCATAAAAGAATATGAATTTTAGTCGTAAAATTCAAAATATTTGATATTTTATCTTTGATTAGAGTATTTTTTATCTAAATAAAATATTTTAAGTTTGAGGTGTATAAATATTCCACGCTTATAAATTTTAAGGAAGTTGGGTATAATTTACTATATGTCTAAGTGTAATTTATTATAGGTCTAAGTGGAGTGTTACGCATTTATAAATTTTAAAGAATTTATATATAATATTTTAAATATTAGAGGATATGAATAATTAAGCGATAAATTTTTAGAAGATTTTAGTATAATTCTCAATAGCTTTTAAGATTGTTAAAACCACACAATAGACACAAAGGGTTGGAAATTATGAAATATCTCAGATCGACATTTTGTGGTGTGACTTGACTACAGAGGCTATTAGTTATACGATTTTGCTGTTTTCTACACAGAATACAAAACTATTTCAATGGGAAGATGTTTTGGCATTAGAATATGTAGGAGATGTTTGAAATTAAAAATTAATTGAAAATTTTCTAAAACATATGTTTAATTTTAAAAGCCTTTCTTGGGTTCACACATTTTATTGAGATTAACTACTACATTTTGTTCGATTCAAGAAAAAGTCATAATTTTTTTAAAACTAAATAATGGAAGAACTTTATTTTGTTCAGATAATGCATGCATTTTAAGGTACTGTGTTATAAATCTCGTACACCGCATGAGTATGTCACAGATAACTACATAATTGAAATATTATGCTAGCAAAAGTGCATGAATTGAAGCAAAATAACATATTTTTAAGTTCGTAGCCCTCGTCAAAAACAGAATCTTTAAACCCTAATTTCCATAAAATCCAATCCCCAACATTTGGCTTATAATCAAACTTACTAATTCTCAAGTTAAAAACAAACAACAAAAAAAAATATTTGCGACAATCCAACACCAAATTGATCTAATATACCATTAGACAAATACACATAAAAAACCACAACACATGCATAACCAAACAATCAAAACAATGTCTTTCCATCTGACATAAAAGAGGAGTGGGAGCCATTCCTTGTTCTAGCATCAGCCGCATGCCTCATCGTTGCGAACAGACCCCCATTCTTTGTCTTTACATCAAAATTTCCAACACAGTGCTACCCACAGAAACACCACAATTATCGAACTCTTTAACTAACAACACAATAACAATTGATTTCA